CTCTCCACTGTCGCCACAAGCATGCTTAGTGTGAGGGACTGCATTCGAGTCGATGAGTTGATGCAATAAACTGGCTTTCCTTAGATAGAAAACTTAAAATCAATTTGACTGGATGATGTGGTTGAACTGTAAAATGCCTTGAGACGACTTGTTGTTAATTGGTACTGTAGAAATAAACTGAATTGAATTGAATTTCGTCCAATTTCTGTAGAACATGTATGTTTAAGTCATTGCAGACATATTTAAGTTTAAAAAGGTCGTAAAGAAAAAAAATACCTTACAATGTTTTCAAGATGGCCATCTTGGTCTGGAAATCTCCATTGTTAACACTTGCTTTATTAGGCCTAAGCTAATTAACAGGAGGAGTTGTAGTTTTCAGGGACTGGATCAATCTATCGCTGCCTATTTGGGATCTTTTAATAAACATGAATTTTAATAAACATGAAAAAAAACAAGTAACTTTTGCCCTAGTACAAATAAAATAAATATTGTAGGTGGCACCTTTTTTTTATTAACACATGACTTTCATTTGAATCTCCTTTTAAGACGTCTCAAAGAATTACACCATATCACGCTTGAATTGTTGTTGAGGGAAACATATAGCCCCTTAGGCTGCGCTTTGCACCCCCTGGTTTAAAGCATAAGTTAGACCGAACGGACCAGTCAAAGTCCAGATCTAAATCAAAGACTCATAAAGCCCCTGTCCCATCTTGACCAGTTAGACACCGTATGCCTGATGTAGGAAAAATCTGGCAAAAACGCTGGCATTGGATGTTGGAAGTTATGGGTACGTTTTTTATAAGTTATGAGGATGCTGAAGTACGCTGGCACACGTCAACATACTGCAAGTAAGTTTTGAGCATGCTCAAATTTTTCTGACGTATGCCAGCGTATGCCATAAGTTACAGGTAAGTTATCTGATCGTTGACATACTTCAAGTGCAAGTAACTCATAAGTCATGGCGTCTAGCTTTTCCAAAACCTTTAAGTAACCTGTGCATAACTTATGCGCAACTTATAAAGAACTTATCTCCAATACATATCAACGTATTTGACGAGTTCCAGACGACCGCTGAACGTGGTTCTAACTTAAAGCTACTGTATAACGACGTATCGGCAGCGTTTTATTATAGGGTGAGCGAGAAGGTGAGTGTGATGGATCCTCCCTGCGTTCAGGCCGACGACCAGCGAGTTTCCTAGCAGACATGACGCAGAACGCTGCGACTGCAAACATTCTTTTTTTCTTTTTCTTTATTCTTTTTTCGGGGCGGGCGGTAAACAGCAGCTAGGTTAATACCGCGATCAAAGACATCTTTTTATGCAGACCGTGCACCTACGGGCAAATCGCTGCCCTTTTCAGGACACTGGCTTGTGACATTTCATGGGCATTACGCTGCCGTGCGTTATGCATAAGTTAGGGTGTCGTTAGACATCAATTCTGGACTCGTTATGAATACAAAATGTTCAACATTGAAAAAATGCATAGAAGGTGCAGCATATGCCAGCATATTAGGAGATTCTGGCACATCAGGCATTTGCTGTCTAAATCTGCAAGGTGTGACAGGGGCTTTAGACGATGTTTTCAAACATCCCTTGGATCCCTTGGATTTTAACAAGGGAAGAGAATCTGTGTTTTCTTGTAAATAACTGGTTAAGATTTCAGTCTATTGATGTGCAAAGCATACAGCCCAAAAATATAAGAGATGGTTTAACTACAACATTAACTACTAATGATTTATAATACAGGGTTCCTACAACATAAGACAAGTTAAATTCAAGACTTTTTAAGACTTTTTAATGCCACTTGAAATAAAAATTTAAGACCAAATTTACAAGAAAAACCCGCTTGCAACAACTTTACCCAAAGGTTTATTTTAACATAAACCACTGCACTAATGTTTCANGAAAAGAATCGCACAGTGCATGCCCGTCTTCCTGCAGAACTTCCTGGGCTCATCTCCTGATTGATGCAGGTAGAAATGGAGGTAATGATGGTGGATTATTTGGCAAACTGCGATTTGTTGTCCCCTAACTGGTGTAAATTCAAGGTATCGACACTAAGAGAGGAAACTTATGAGTGCGTTGGTGTTCCTGACAGATCAACTCTACAGACTCAGCCTAGACGGAGGAACTTCTGAAGAGGTTCTATGACTCTGTGGTGGTATCAGCCATTCCATTTAATCCTTGCTTGACCAAGAAATATTTTCTTACTTACTTTAAGCTGACTTTTAAGTGCTTCGTGGGCATCGTTCACATTTATGAGAACATGCACAGTTTGCATGAGCCCATTCTGGAAGAGGAGTCTTTAATAAAAAGAGAGCCCAGTAAATAAATCTTAACCGGCTGCCACATAAAAACCTCTTACTACATTGCTGAGAGCGTAAGGCCCATACATCAGTATCGGCTGCAACACCAACAGTCTGTTTTATTTTCTGGCAGCAGTCTGAGGGCTATCGCTGTGTGTGCGTGTGTTTGTTTAAAACAAAGAAAATATTGATGTCTATAATGAGTATGTATGATGGTTAGTTTGAACCCAGACCCTAGAGAGCGCTTGTCTCAGGCCGTCGGGGTGAAGAAGCTGTGCGTATCTCAGCATGCATCCCTCACAGATCTGGTGACCTGGGAGCACAGCCTCAATCAGCCTCGTGTTGATTTTGCAATGCATTCTTCCACAAGGGTTATTTTTAGTTGACAGGGAACAAATCTGCGTTCCTTGCCTGCAAATCTGTGATTTTTGGGCCTGTTCCCTCTCAGTACATGAGTGGGGGGAAAAAAAGGATGTGGGGCCTTACAGGCTGTTACAGTTGTGCTTGTTTTAGCTCCTGATCCTATAAAAAAGACAGGGTTTGTATTTATGAGGCCGAATGCAAAGGCTGCATAATAACTCAACAGCTGCAAACTGACCAGCGAACTGTTAATATGTTGCATTACACACAGTCGCTCTGGGAACACAAGGATAATAAATCACACCCCTGATGGTATTCAGGAGCTTTTGGTAATTTTGCAACAAAGCTTATAGTTACATAGACTTTTTCTCCACTCGGGAACCTTTGCTCAGCACGTAAAGTTTTTGTCATAAATGCAGCATTTGTAAAAACTTTATAAAATAAAAAATACTATTGCTCTGAGTAAATAAATAACTGTTGTTTTTAATGTTGAATTTATGTTGAGATGTTTTAGTTAGGATTTACATGTGAGACATAATATCAAGGTATTATTGTAGCCCGTTAACTGGAGAGATACCGTGCTGCAGGGGGAGGGTGCTGCCATTTTTACAATTCGTAATGGAAAAGTTGAAATTTGGGTAATGCAGCAAAATTTTTCTACCTTTTTCATTAAATTATTCTATTTTTATTATTTATTTATTACCTCGAATGTCGAGCATCTTTACAAAACTGTCCCAGTTTTATACATTGAATAAATGTTTAAACACACTCTAAAGCAGAGGTCACGGATTATCGGACCGCAGTCCGGATCCGCACCCACCTGCTGGTTAATCCGGACCCAACCTGATTTAAAACATTTATAAATTACAACATGGTGTACGACGACAGTGTATAAAAATACAATTGCACCGCTTCTCCTGTTTGTACGGTAAAGCCCTCTGGAGCGTCCGGATCCAGGCTCAAAATGAGCACCTTGATATGTGCCATTCGAACCCATGTTTGAATGGCGACAAAATAACAAACGTTCAGTTCAGGTGTTTTATAAAATAAGTGAATCAGGAATTTGTCTTTATACCAAACTGAACAATTGTTCTCTACTTAAAAAAACACTTTAGATTTTAAAATGAAAAAAATTTTCTATTTTTTTTTTTTTATATTTTTTTCACTTAAAAATTTGTTGCAAGGGGCGTGCAGATGGTGCAGTGGTTAGCATGTACGACCCATGTACGGAGGCCTTAATCCTCGACGCGACCGACACAGGTTTGAATCCCACTTGTGGTCCTTTGACGCATGTCTCTCCCACTCTCTCATACCTCCTTTCCTGTCAGATTACTGTCGGAAAAAAGCGCCACTAGTGCCATTAAAAAAGAGTCAATGTATAACATGGATGCATAAAAACTTCTTTTTATTTTGTTTAAAGTAACAGATTATGATTAAAAATGTCTCCGGATCTTTACTGGTCGATGATTTTCTTTACTCAGACCCCGCTGATTTTTAATTGGTTATCCCTGGTTTAAGTTTGAGAGAACTCAATAGAGTTCTCTCAAATACAGACAAATAAGCTTACATAGGAAATTTAGAAGGAAAAATGAACTTAATGCTCATAGAATCAATACTTTAATACCTTCAGTTTATCCCCTCCTTGGAGGAAATACCTAATCCTAAAGATGTGTGACACCTAAATCAGATACTTCAACTCCTTCAAATTTCACCTCAATGTAATCTAGAGCATGCAATTCCCCTCTCAGCACAGCTGAGCTGCACCCTAGATCAGGAAAACTTAAATGGTTCACTCCAGGAGTGTAAGCTCATGTTGTGATTTTTATTTACGAACTGTTTTCGTCTGCCTGTGTCCTTGATTGTAAAAATGGCGCCATCCTGCAGTACGGTGCCCTCACTGAACTGGGCAGGTTATCTGTTATTTATCCTACAGCTGTGAAGGAAATCACCCCTGCAGAGACTCAGTTTATTTCATGGCCAAAGTCCATCCATAGACTGCTCTATAACCACCTGCAATGTAAATAAGAAATGCTTTATCTCCACATATGTTTTTATCTTGCTTCCCAAAGATATTTAAGGATGCTCAGTCCTGTCCAAATGGTTTTTAATTATGTCTCAGTTCTAGATATGTGCATTCTGAGTTGATTTTCACTCAAAAATGTGGTTATGGGTCCATAGTAACAATAAATATTTCCAATGTTTGAGACATAAAACCATTCAATTCTACAGACAGATGCCAACAGAACAAAGTACCAAAATGTCATTGATAAATGTACAACATTCATTACTCATAAAGGTGACTTGCATAGCATTTGTTGTTATGGTTCCTGCTAACCTGCTAGCCATGTTCCACTCCAGGGCTGGATTCTGAGAGCTCCTCTCACTTTCTGCTGAAACCCCTCCTTTAGCTCCCTCCTTCTCTGGCTTGAGCTGTTCCCACAGAGCCGTACCGATGCTGATAGACTGGAGATCAATCTGATACTGACGATCCTCTACCTCTGAGCCTGGGTCGCGCAAAATGCCCAGGTTGAACGCTCGTCTGCAGGGAGAAAGAGAGAAAATGCCAAAATCACTTTAACATACATTTAGAGGTTTAGATATTCAGAATGTTAACATAGAGGTAAATAAATAGGTCATTCTTGATATTGGGAGTGTGTTTAAATTTTAATCATCATAAATAATATGTGAATAGTTTGGAGAGGCACAGCTGAGGCAGGTTAGTGGGGTATGCTGGTGACACAGTTATTAGTTATCCTTAAATCTCTTTGAATGGGACAGTTTACATCAGGGATGCTACATGGGGCCAAACAAATAGCTTTACTTTCTGTTGCATATTGTTTTCATTTGTACCTGCATGAGCAGTTCTATGAGCCATCAATGTTTTGGGCTTGTACTGAGGACATAATACTGAATCCTTCTGTGATTTCATACAGAAACTTTAACTAATCGATCGGCTGGACAGATTTCATTCTCCACCTTTTAAGATTTGCCTCAAAAATAATTTAAAAAAAGCCTTTGAAATTATAATTCACATCGTTCCGAGCTTAAATCGCTTCTTGTTCCCTGGTTTTAGCTGGATAACCAATTTTAGTTACATTTACACTTGCTCATATTTTCCAGACAAAAAGTTAATGGCGCATCTCAAATGTCCCGGCCGCAACAACGATTTTATTGGTTCCGCTATCGGGATGGAACCAATAATGGCGAGCCATTATTTTTTTTAAATAAAAAAAAAAGGTCAATTTTAATGTTTTATTTAGATTACACAAATAAATCATGATAAAAATAATCCTATTTATGATGTTTTAAAAATCAAGACCTACGAAAGACTGATTTAAGACATTTTAATACCAATTAAGGCCTTAGTTTTATTTTGAAGAATTCAATGCCTTTTAAGACTTTTTAAGGACCCGCGGGAACCCTGTAATAAAAACTAAGCTTCTGCAAACTGTTCAGTTAAATTGAGAAAATTCACAGTTGGACCTTTTGCCACCTTATGACAGTAGTCCTAAAAAGCTGCTCTTATTGCTGTTTTGTTTCTAATTCAATCTATAAAAACGAAGGGCTAAAACTACACCCACAAACTTCAAAACACAGGACAGGAGGCAGCCTTGTGTCTGTGGTGGAACGGCTGCAGTCGAGGGAGCGAGCACCGAGCCGTCCACGCCAAGAAAGTGATGTCATGTATTTTGCCTTTGAGAGACAAGATTCAGACGAATTCACGGAGCAAAAAAGGAATAATCAAAATTCAACATCTGTATATGACATCAGGGCTTTCAGTTCATTCTGAAATGTTTATTTGTGCTGGTGAATTCAAATGAGAGCCTTAAATGGTAGAAATGAAGGCTTAAAGCGGCCACAGATGTAGCGGCAGCGTGAGCGGTGTTATTTGTTTCGGCAACGTCAGTGGCAATTTTCAGATAGCGTTTCCCTTCTCCTCGCCACATTGAGAAGGCCTCTACCAGAGCACGATGTTATGACAATACGCACCAGCAACAAAAACAATGGCAATGAGAGATTAGAGGTGCCTTACTGGGGTTTAGTTGGATTTGTTGACATACAAACAAGTGAAACAGATCCTTAATCAACATTTGGAACCACATTTATCAACAAAGCATAATATAAATCAAACTAAGAGCTGGGTAAGATTTGGGTGGGATGTGTCAGTCTGGATTCATTAGGGACTTTGTAACAGTACCTCCAACCCTATACTGTCTTTTTCACTTTAAAACAAACCACAGTTACCTCATATGCTTTCCAAATTATCTCCTAACTGTAGCTTATTTAGGGGACTCTCTTTCTCATAATCAGCATAACATGGGAATTTGCAGCCAAGACTGGAACGGCAGGGTCATCTCCGATGACATAAATAAATATGATAAACATTTGTCTTGGTCTTACAGCCAGTGGAAAACGGTGTGATTTAATATCAAAAGACACATTTCAGCAAATCACAGGAAACTAAAGAGCTTCATTTCTGACAAATGAGGAGAGGAGGAATTTTGGAAGTTCCCCTTGGGGTGAAATAATAATTGAAGCCAGATTTTCTTGTAGTACATGTGGGGGGAAAACACTGGTGGTTTGACATATTTGATTGGTCATGTGAAGACCACACTGCTTGGCCAAGAAGAATCAGAACACCCGCCCCCCCAACTGTTAGACATTCAAACTCACAAACATACACAGTAAAGCAGGTGGGACACACACCTAGCTGCATCTCTGATGCATCAGAAATGAGATACATAAAAAATAAAAATGCATTTAAAATGTGGGACACAGAGCCAGAGAGCCGACGGGGGGCTCTCTAAACCACAACTCCTTAATGTGACCCTTGTTCTGGAGCCAACCTGATTTTAATTGCAGAAACAGAAACATTACTTTTAATGGCAATATTCTGCTGTTTGTAAAAAGCTTAGAAAGTTCTGTCTTAATTTGCTGAGGGGCCTTTTCTAAAAAAATTATTTCTCCATCTTCCGATACAACTGAAGCCTAATTTAGGTAAAAAAAAATATTTAAAAAAAAGCCACTGAGTCGATTCTGCAGCAGAGCCGAACCATGATGGCTGACGTCCAACATTATTAAGGCCCAAATTCAAACCCTCCAGCCCACTAAAACATTCTCTGGTGAAGACATGGCAGTGCTGCACGTTCACAATGATTTAGTATGACCGCTTTAGTTGTGCTGCATCAATCCAAAAGGAAACGATTAAATTCACATCGATTTGGACAGAAAATACTCAGACAAATGCACCAGTGGCCAATTAGGTGCTTGTTATGTGTTACTATTTAACATTCTTTAGAGCCTTTATATGCTAAAAGGGCATTAGGGATGATTTGTTCATGCATTTGTAACATAAAGGATAGGCTATTGTAGTTCTTTACTTTTAAAAAGTTCACTCAATGTAGTTAAAAGGCTTTAGTTGATCCAAAATGCTACAGCCAGAGTTCTGATATTCTGAATATTAAAAAGACAGATCATATTTCTGCTGTTTAGGCTTCTCTTTATTGGATTCCTCTTAAATCCTTCTTACATACAAAGCCCTAAGTAGCCCAATCCTGTCGTATATCACAGATCTGATCATTCCTTGTGCTCCTAACTCGATGCGAATCACTTCGCTCTCAATCTGCAGGTTTACTAGTGGTTCCTAGAATTTTTAAAAGTAGAATGGGAGGCAGTTCTTGTAGTTATCATGCTCCTTTCCTGTGGAACCAACTACCAGTTATAGTCCATGAGACCGAAACCCTGTAGTCCATGAGACCGAAACCCTGTCTACTTTTAAGGGTAGGCTTAAAACTTTTCAGGTAAAGCTTATAGTTAGTGGCTCAGATTATCCTGCAATATCTCTATAGTTATGCTGCTATAGGTTTAAACTGCTGGAAGACATAGGGACCTCTTTTCATCATTCTGCTTCAATCTGTCTCTTTTTTCCATTACTGCAGTATTTGTTATTTCAACCAGTGACTTTATGTTCCATTTTTTCTTATGATACTAGCTTCATTTGGTGCTGTTTAGCTGTGACCTCATCCTAAAGAATGATCAGCTGGGCTGCTGCCATCGACACCTTTGATCATAAATGATAGAGTTGGGACTGTTTTTCCATGTTTAGTTCTGTTTCTCGCCTACAGTATACCTACAGGCTCAGGTTTTACTTTGACTAACTCCTCTGTCTTTAATCCATTTGACCTGAAAACAAGCTCAGAGTTCATCTGCTTAATGGTTTCATTTCTAGACGGAGGTGCCTATTAACCACCAAAAGCTAATTACTTTTACTAATACACAAAGTATTTATAGATCAGAGCTTCTATGTTCCTCTTGTGTGTCTGTTTAAATCTCTGAACCCCAGTCAGCCACGGCAGAAGGTCATGCCCACTGAGTCTGGTTCTACTGGAGGTTTCTTCCCGTTAAAAGATAATTGTTCCTCTTCACTGTCGCTGTATGCATGCTCGATGTGAGGGATTGCTGTAGAGTCAATGGCATGATGCAACTTAATATTTACTGTCACCACTTGTTCATTCAGGTGGAGCGAGTCCTGCAAAGTCAATGACTGAGTGAAATGAGCTGGTTTTCCTTATAAACCTTTAACCAATCTAAATGACTGATCTGATTGAATTGTCTCTGTAAAGCATATTGGGATAACGTGTTGTGAATTGGTGTTATACAAATACACTGAAATAAATGTGTCTTTTCAGTAGAAGTTTGCTCCGACAACTCAATATACCCTACGTATAGCAGTAAGTCATTTTGTTCTTAACTGGCAATTGGAAGAGGTTAATGGATATTATGGTTAGCACCTACATAAATCAAGAAATGTGTTCAGTGAGAGATTTATTAGCTACCAAAAATACAAACCATGGAAAGAGCCTGGCTGCCCACCATGGGGGTATATAGTTTCCAAATCAGCTTTAATCATAGAAAGGAAATGTTGTAAGAAGATAAATCTATCTAAATTAGCATACATAAAAACCAAATAGTGCCAATTGGGTAAATTGCTGAAATGCAGAGAGAGTGGAAACTGGGAGGGCTGGATTACTACACTGAGCATCTGAAGGTTAGCTGTGTTCAAGGCTGTAAAACAAACCGCAGTCAGGATCTGGTTAAGGCTTAGGGTCCCATGCTGGACATGTTGTAGACCCCAGCACTGCATCATCGAGCTGCAGCTCCATATGCTCTCCCAGCTTTCCCACTCCTACCTGATCCATATGCCTCGACCCAAACCCTGTGGGGCAGGAAGCACTGGGGTAATGCCAAGTGGTGTTTGGGCTTCTGGATCTCATCAATCTGAAATATGCAACCCTTAACCTGCAAACCACGGCTCTGTTCTTCGCTCCGTTTCCCCCAACAACCACAAGCAATGTGTGTCTGCTTACCTGTTCTACACGGCGAATGCCATAACTGAGTTGGAGCATTTTACTGACGTCTAAAGCCATTTCCAGCAACTCAAGCTAAAGCAGGTTTGCAAAAAAAAAAAAAAAAACTCACAAGCAAACTTTGCCTCACCTGATCCTCAATTACTAAGGATTTAATGTAAAAGTACACCTT